TTGGGACCAACATTGTTGATCCTGGAAGAATTTTGCAGATAAAATTGGTCATTATATAACCACCTGATCCTGGGGATCATTGATCATGTGTGTATTGCCTATCAAATATATATAGATCATGTTTGTATAACCACATAGTATTAGATATAAAGATCATATATGTATGAATGCTTCATTAGAGACGTATAAAAATTTAATAAAACTGTTATGGCTTTAAATTTTTAGTTCTTGCTTGTTTTTTCAATTTAATAAAATTTACCTGGGCACCCGGCATTTGAAGCTGCAAGGACCGAACTAAGGCAAACCTAAACTTCTACTAGTTGTTAAAATTACTTAGCAGTAATTCATAAATGATATAATCTTTTGGTTCCTTCTTTCCATTGTAGTTGGAAATTGGAATTATTAAAAATTTACTTTATTGTTCATCTACATTGTTTTGCTATGAACTTAAATGTTGCTGCGGTTGCAGGTTAAGCAAGACGGATTCTTTCCTGCAGACCTGCTATTTCTTGCTAGTACAAATGCAGATGGTGTCTGTTATGTTGAGGTTTCTATTCTTTTCTGCACCATGTTACCTTTTGAAGAATCTTTACTTTTTCTTTTTTCTTTTTCTTTTCTGAACTGAACACAATGCCTTTGCAAAGGATAATAAAACATTTTGTTGATGTTTTATATATTTTTCTTATTATTTTTTCTTTGTTCCAATCCTTTTATAATATCCTTTATTCTATTTCTTGGGTGTCAGACTGCAAATCTTGATGGTGAAACGAATTTAAAGATCAGAAAAGCATTGGAAAAGACTTGGGATTACATGACTCCTGAGAAAGCCTCTGAATTCAAAGGTTTTTTCTTTTTGATAACCCACTCATCAGTGTCGTGTTTTAGGACCATGGTTCACTGTAATTGATTATTAGGAATAGTCATGGAGCAATGGACAAGCCTTAGCCTATGTTTGGGAAGTTAGGTTTGAGGATTTTTTAGCTAAAATAGCCACAAGAAACAAAATGGGCTTTTTAGCCCAATAAGACAATACATCACATCCAACCCATAATCATTACATTCTTTCTCTCACTAAAAAGCTAAAAAAGCCAAAAGCCCTTTCCAAACCAGACTTTTTAGTCCCAGGCTAAAATAGTTAAAAAAGCCAAAAAGCCAAAAGGCCAACCCACTTCCCAAACATAGCCTTAGGGCCCTTCTACTAATTTCTGTTCTCTTTCTCTGTTCTTCCTTCTAAAGCATATAAGTTTATAACCATTTGCTTTCTTTGTAGATATAAGATTTTCTATTAGGATGCTCTCTCTCTCTCTCTCTCTCTCTCTCTCTCCCTCTCCTGTAATTCAATTGTTTTATTTGGGAATGATGGTCCAATTTTTTTTATTTTTTATTTTTTTTTTTTGATTTCTTTGGGGAATGAAGGTTTTTTTTTGCAAACTAATGCCCTTTAAGAAAAAATTTCATTTTCACCCCGGTTGAAATGATTTAGTTCATTTAAAACCTTAGTGATTCAGTTCAAAACAGTAAAATTATAGTGCCTTAAAATAGTATAGTAGTGCATGGTTTAACTGAAGTTGTGACCCTAGAAACACAAGAATGGAGGAACAGGATACAAGTACCCAACTCCGAATAGTTGGGTTGAAGCTTTTTTGTGTAGAGTTGAACAGAAAATCTTAGATATGGGTTTAAAATCATGATGTATGCAAATCTACGATTCCTTTCTCATTTTCTATTCTTACATTTTTTTAAAAAAAATTTCTGTTAATTGCAGGTGAAGTACAGTGTGAACAACCAAATAATTCGTTGTACACATTCACTGGCAATCTGATAATTGACAAGCAAGCTTTACCCCTCAATCCAAATCAACTTCTACTGCGAGTATGATTTTTTCCCTTTCTTTTCTTTTTCATATATTAGCTTGCTGTTGTATTCAAGTTTCATTTCTATTTGGAGTTCAAGTCTGAATATGACTTTGGTATGCTTAAATTGTAGACTTGTCCACGTAAGTGCTTGGGCTGAACTCTGTGTATTTAGATGAAATATTATTCCTCTTTTCTAGGATTTATTATTCAGATTCCTTTGAAATATTGGTCTGCCATTTCCGTATGATTCCTTTGAATTTTCTGTTCACTCACCATAGTTGAAAGTTATCTCACGCGTACTTATCTACTCTGGATCTACATGTTTTCAGGGATGCTGTCTCAGGAACACCGAGCACATCATTGGAGCTGTTATTTTTACTGGGCAAGAAACAAAGGTGATTTGTTGTGTTAAATAGTTCAGTTTGTATTGCCCATTTTCTTTTGTTTTTGGGTTTTTCATTTTTGAGCCGTCTATTATGTACGGAATATTAATGGTAGTATCAATGCTTTCGTTAGAAATGCTACCTTTGATTACATTTCTAGCACACCAAGAGAGATATTGAGGATTGTAATGCCATCTGCTGCATCAGTCTTGAAGTTTTCTTTTATCCTAGTGGATTGAGTTAGTTCCTAGATTATCTTTATAGGTTGTTTTATATGTTAACTCAAGTTATTTACTTGCTCTTTTGTCCTTTGTTTATGTTTCTTGCTAGCTTCATTTATACATTTACATTTGTAACATGGCAACCTTTATTAAATAGAATGGTTGGTTGTCATGATTTTTTTTTTTTAATTGCAGGTGATGATGAATTCCATGAATGTTCCTTCCAAAAGAAGTACTCTAGAGAGGAAGCTTGACAAACTTATAATCATTCTTTTTGGTGTTCTTTTCTCTATGTGTCTAATTGGGGCCATTGGCAGGTGCGACAATAGCTATTCTGTTCTCCATGTTGATGTAACTGCTGTGGGGATTTTACATTTCTCTCCAAATTTTCACTTTCGATGACATTCTTTATGCTTCATGTAATTTTGCAGTGGAGTTTTTATAGACAACAAATATTACTTCTTGGGTCTTCGTGGTCATCTATCACCAGATATGAACCCCAAACACAGATTTGTGGTATTATTCGCTTGCTGCAATAATAGGAATTCTCTGGAATTACTAATTTGTTTTTATTTTTTATTTGATTTCCTTATTGACGTTGTTTATTGTTTCTTCAGGTTGCTATTTTAAGTATGTTTACCCTAATTACTCTTTATTCACCAATTATCCCCATTTCTCTTTATGTTTCAGTTGAGGTAGGTCTTATACTGTTATAGTATTTGTTTTCCCAAACCACGTGTTGTTTTTTTGGTTCAAGGATTCATTTTCTTTTTCTATTTTCAGATGGTCAAATTTATACAATCCACTCAATACATTAACAATGATTTGCATATGTACCATGTTGAAACCAACACCCCTGCATTGGCGCGGACATCCAATCTGAATGAGGAACTTGGACAGGTAAACTGGTTTCTTGTTGACTTCTTCTAGAGTGGATTGCAAATAGTTCTTTTTTCTTGCCTTCATTATTTTTAGAAAATTATCATCTCTGTTATATTTCTTAGGAAAATGGTGTGAAATTTATTTATTTTTTATAAAACTCTTTGAAGTCATTATTGATTCCCCCCACCCAAACTGCTTGTCAAATTTAACTTATGGTTGGTATTTTGTTCTTTTGATCAGGTAGAATATATCTTTTCTGACAAAACTGGAACTCTAACAAGAAATTTGATGGAGTTCTTTAAGTGTTCTATTGGAGGAGAGGTCTATGGAACTGGCCTTACGGAGATTGAGATAGGAGGAGCACAGCGGAATGGCATGAAAGTTGACGAGGTAGCTAGCATCACTTGGAAAATGACATAACTTAATGTGTGTCTATGTATAATTTTGTTGTCAATCAGTTCACACAGGTTCGGAAATCATCAAACATAGTACGTGAGAAGGGCTTCAATTTTGATGATGCGAGGCTTATGCAAGGTGCCTGGAGGAATGAACCTAATCCTGATATGTGCAAGGTAAGATTATTTTAGTTGACAAAAATAGAATGCTTATTTATATTCTGATAAGATATGTGGATTAACTTTCGGTAATTCAGAAGCATAGAGCATGGTTATGTTAGTGGTTACTTGTCAAATGTAAAATGTTTGTGCATTTAGTATTCTCCATGTGTACATGGTAGGCGGCCCATTTTCCATCCTTTAATATAGTTACATTTACTTATAAAATAACTATATGTGCATGTAACTACGCATTATATGAATACAACAATTGTGGATATTCTAATAAGCTATGTGGAGTGATTTATACAATGAAGAAGACACACAGACATGCCTTTGCAGCATGGTTTATGGTAGTAGTTGTCAGATGTAAACTGTTCGTGCATGTGACAAAGCATTATATGTATTTTCTTCTATTTCTTATTGTATAATTGCTTTGGGAAAATTCTGGATGAGTTATGAAACCAGAAGAGAGTAACTGCTCTCGTATTGCATAGAGAATGTCAAAATGTGGGTATATTATGAAATACTGATCAACGAATAAAATATCAATAGAAAGGATGTATAACGACCCTTAAAATGTGGGTATATTACGAAATAACAATATTGTTTTGGATAAAATGGAGAAACTAAGGCAATATTATATAAAAAAAAAAAACAGTGGCTAATCTCTATGTACTGAGTTCTTGAAAAGAGGAAGATATTGCAAATATCATGGAATTTTTTTTTTTCTGTGCTTCTAATTTATATTTTCATGTGGGGTCATTGACCAATTTTCTGGTTTTCTGCAGGATAAGTCATGGCATCAACTAGTATTTATTATTATTTTTAATTTATATTTGTGTATCTGTCTCTTGAAATAAGCTCATCTATGGTGGTGATATTAATATATTGTATAAGATTGATAATGTCCTCAATACTTGAAAAATAGTTTAATATAGCTCTAGGGTTGTTAAGGTCAGTTGAAAATAGCTGTTGTATGTTGCTTGGTCCTCAGCATATGCTCATGTTACAACACATAATGAAAATAGTGTCTCGATTAGTCAACAATTACTTTCTTGGTGAATGCTTTCGTTGTTTTTATAGGAATTCTTCAGATGCCTTGCTATATGTCATACTGTGCTGCCTGAAGGTGAGGAGTCCCCAGAAAAGATTCGATATCAAGCTGCATCTCCTGATGAGGCTGCTTTGGTTACAGCTACAAAGAGATTTGGTTTCTTCTTTTACAGGTCTGTAATTCTTTATAGTACATAATTTGCATGCCTTGGTAGGCAGGAACACTATTATTATACTTTCCCTTCAATATCATGTTGCTTTATCCGTGTTATGTTTTGATACTCATTTTTTTTTTTTGTCTTTTTAATTTTTTTTTTTTTGACAAAAAAAACTATAAAAAATGTGAGAGTTGATATGACCAAAAATAGGTTAAAAGTAAAAAAATAGCTTATAATTGTGTTTTCAAAACACCCCATAATATTATTTTTTAATTACTTTATATGCAACTTGGGTAGGGTACTGTGTGGGTAGTTTTCTGACCACACTGCCCGCTTAGTAATCAGCTGGAGAGCACCGGCAGAATAGATGGCTTCAGCAAACCTGTAACAGAAAGAAAAGGCTCCGGCGGTGGCTCTTCCACCCGGGGGCATTCCGACGATCAAGTCAGTATATCTCTCAAAGATAATCAAGTGCTAAACTCACAAGCTTAAGCATAAAATTGTGTCCCTTAGACCCACGGGGGTGCCTCTCTTTTATAGTTTACTCAATCCAAGTCCCACTAGAAGCCTGACTTCTATGGACTCCAATTCAGTGCTTACTTTGGACTCCTGAAGAGATAAAGATAAACTCTCTAAGAGCTTTATCATTATCTTAGCAAAGTCTTCTCTTTACTCTAGGACTCTTGTCCCTTATCTTTTATCCATTTATCGCGGATTCCGATATCTTCGGAGATAACATCGGCCTTGCCGAGATAACCTCGGCGTAACAATCTGGACACATGGCACCTCGGCTGACACGTCGGCGTCACCTTGCCACGTGTCGGTACTCAGAAAATACATCCCCACAACTGCCCCCTAGGTTCTATTACCTCGGCCTTCTGAGGTGATGGAACCTATATCTGTATTGTCTTCTAGTACCTCAGCGTAAGAACTCTTTGACCGAGATCATTCATGTCAAGCCGACATGTTCCCTTCAGAGAACAAGAATTCCAGTGATCATTTTCATATGTGTGAGCTGTCACGCATCTTTTACTCAACCATTTCTCTTACGCGTCTTTTCTTTAGTGGTCCGTGTTTGTAACGCGCCTGTAAGCCACGTTTTTCCTGCATACGCCGCCTGACGTATGCGCTGCTCCAGGCGCATTAATTATCTTTTGCCGCCGTTTTTGGTTTTTGACAAAAACACTTCCTTCTTCTTTCATTTTTTCACTATTGCTTTTGCTATTTCTCTTTCTAAACTCGTTTTGTCGAATCTGCCATTGCTGAAGCTTCCAAGCTCTGTATTCGTCTTCCTGGTGGATCTTTCGTCGTTCTGCCACATCCGTATCTACCAACTAACTTCGGCAGTCCTCACATCGGCTTCATTTTCTTCTGGTACGCAACTTTTTCTTCCGATTTCAATTCTTGACCTTTTCTGGAATCTTCTGTTATTACTGTCTTACTCAAATATCTATCTTGTGAATCATTCATCTGAATGTGTTTATTCTTTGATTTAGCCCTTGCCCATACCTTGAACACACGCACCGTTGCACCACTTTACTATATTTTTGCCATTGATCATGGTCCTCTATTTCTCGTATTCTTCATTTTCTTGATAGCCTATCCCTGTTCTTGTTTCTGAAATTTCGCCTTTGTTTTCTGTTTTTTGTGTCTTTGCCAGATCTCTTCCTTCAATTTTTGCCTTCATAGATTTAGGTTTGGGATTTGCCTATAGAACCTATCAATTCTTAGGAAAAAGCTGAAACAATCCTTACCAACATATACCTAGGGTTTCGCCGAGGTCCCGATAAACCCTTAAAAGCATCTTCTTTCCGAAACCAAGCCCTCTGTCTTTAGGCCGACGTTATGGGTATGTGGAGGCACAGGGTAGACACCCCGACCAAACTTGAGTACTTTAGGCGGGAGTTCTCTATTCCTGCCGATGTCCACCTGAGACTTGCTGGGGATGATGACTCTATTATGCCCACAGATGATTCAATGCCTTTTCCCATAGTAGCTTTTACCGAGTGTGGACTCTAGCTCCCACTTAACATTCTCTTTCGTGAAATTCTTCACTTTTACAAGTTGAACCCTATGTAACTTGCCATAAACTCTTATCGAGTGATCAATGGCATCATAGTTTTAGCTAGACAGGAGAATGACAGGATCACTTTTGCCGACATCCAGTACTGTTATACCATGTGCCCCCTTAACCTGAAGGAAAAAAGCTTCGTCTATTATCTTAAACCGAGGTCCACTGAATTCAAAATCGTAGCCGACCTCCCAGACTCCAACAAGGGAGCTGGAGATGACTATGTTATCGCTTCGGGAAACTAGGAGTTTGGCGCAGACGAGGACGTCCATCTTTACCCTCTTCCCCGATCAGTTAAAGAGGGTAAGGGTAAGAGCCCAGTGTCAATACTTAGTTGTTTCTGTTCGAGTCTTCAAAACTTTGTCTGTTTCTAATGTTTTGTCCTTCTTGCAGATGTTCGCAAGCCACCAAAGGATTTTCGCCAGTCCTACGTCCCCAGCAAAAACTTAAAGAGGCTCCTAGATCTGCCAATCCAAAAGCGCAAGGCTCCACTGGTACTGAATTTTATTCCGAAGTACAAGTCTACACTGCCCGACGTCCCGAAACGAAAAAAGAAGAGCTTATCTCCTCCCTCTGCTACCACTCTACAAACCGCATCAACATCTCGGGCTGACTAAGGGTCAACCACTGATCCAGCCGATCAACCATCAACTTCTGCCCCATACTTAATCCCAATACCAGAAAGAAAACGTCGGCGACGTCTTGTCAAAACTGCTGAGATGGGTCTCCCGAAGCTTGTTGCTGTAGATCTCTTAGCCGACCTACCTGCCGACGTTGATGTTGTTCCGACTCAATCCATACCCCCACCAAAGCCAAAAAGAACAAAAAGGGCTCAGCCAAAGGCCAAAGTGACTCAGGTTGAATCTGAGGACACTTTGCCTATTTCCAAACTGGCTAAGAGTAAGAAGACTTCTTCTGCTCCTGCAAAAAGGTCTGCTGAAACCCCACACTCTGAGTCCACACAGTCAAAGAAGCCAAGGTCGGCCTCAGCTACTACCTCGGGGTCCAAGAAACCGGATGTCCCTTGGGCTCCCAAAATTACTTTGGAAGACAGGCCAATTATGTCCAGTGAAAGCGCAGACGACATAAATGTCAGCGTTGCCCTCAGTACGGCGTTGCTTCTTCCGGGCGACCTCGAGCGAAATGCTGAGTATAGTGAGTGCGAGAATTACGCTCTAATGCTCCAGCACTCCGTTCAAGTAAGTGTTCCTCCTTGGAATTTTCTACTTTCTTTCTATTTCATACTTAAAATATTTTCTAACACTTCTGTTTTCTTTCAGGCCATCCAGCATGCCCATTCGTTTTCAATGCAGTCTTTTGAAAATCGGCAAAGATTGGCCGACATGAAGAGGGAGGTTTCTGCCCTGAAAAAGGAGAACAAAACTCTCGAATCAAAGATGAAAAAACTGGAGGACCAAGCTGAGGCCGCCACCAAGGCCCAACAGATGGTCGAAGAAAAAACGGAGTTTGCCGAGGCCATTAAGAAGGTTGCTAAGGTCGAGAAGAGAGAGGTCGAGGTAAAAAAGGCCCAAGCGGAAAAAGAGCTTCAGCAGGCCTTAATTACCAAAGATGCTGAGATTAAGGAGGCTGACGAAAAGGCTTATGCTCAAGGAATAGCCGACGTCACTGAGGAGTACAAACTGCAAGTTAGGCAGGCATGCAACAGGGGCTTCTCCCTTGGTTGGATGGCCCTTGCCAAAAAGCTCAACATCCCAGATGACTCGCCATTGCGCAAGGCTGATGATATTCCTCTGTCATTTCCTCCACCTCCACGTCCAAGCCAAGCTAAAGACGAATCTGAGTCTGAATCTGAGGATGAGGATAAGGATGACGATGAAGCTTTGGTAAGGAAGCCCAAGGATACTAGTGAGACCAAGTCCCTTCCTCAGGATGATCAAGTCCTAGACTTGACTCATGAGGAGGATGAGGAGGTTATCAAGGAGACCACCCCTGAGCAAGCATCATCTGATGTTCCTCAAATCGGCAAGAGCGTTGATGAAACCCTTACCGAGATCGACGCCGAGATTGCTGCAGATGAGGAAGCCGAGGTATCTCTTCAGGAGACTTCTGAGGTTCAGATCCAGCCAGATGCTGATGTTAAAAAGTCTTAACTTTCATGTCTTTTCTTTTGCACCCTTGTACTTTGTTTTGTTTTCTGGACAATGTAATCTTCCTTTTATGGCCGATGTGCCTTTCTTTGTTACTTCGAAACAATTTACTTCTGGTGGGCCGCAGTGCCTTCTTTTGTATACAACTGCAACTGTTTTTCTATGGATGCTTCAATCTTTTAATTTCTCTTGATTGGCTTCTGCATGGTTCTATACTTAGAATATTTTGTATGCCTCTCATATCTTGCCACCTTTGTGCAATCTTCTCGGGGTCACATATCTCGGGCATAATAACTACAAGTTTTACTTCGGCAAGATACTGACCTGCAAACTTTTCATAAATTTCAACAAGTGTAAAACATATACTTATTCAATGTCAACTTTGCGAATGTTTCTTAATGTTTCAATCAAGTGTTTAGACAGTGATCCTAGTCTATCCTACTTGTAAATTGCTACCAATTTTAACAAGTGTTATCATATACTGTAAACTTTTCTCAAGTTATAACAAGTGTTTAAGCAATGATCTACTTGTAAAGTTGCTTACAAATCTTCAAAACAGTGTTTAAACAACATACTTAGCTTTTACCTCAACCTGTAAATTGCTGCAAATTTCAACAGATGATCACATGTCGCTTAACATTATCTTGTAAATTGCTACAAATTTCAACAAGTGTTAAGCATCTTCTTTGGTTGGACCAACCTGTAGATTGCTAAAAGTGTGGCAAACTATAACCTCGGCTTCACTTCGACTTGTAAATTGCTACAAATTTCAACAAGTGAAGATAAGGAATAATCTCGGCTTAACTTCAACTTGTAAATTGCTACGAATTTCAACAAGTGAAGATAAGAATCAGCTTAACTCCAACTTGTAAATTG